GATTACAAACAGTATTCAAGCTCAAAATTCCATGTCACAATACAAATTTTGGAGCTGAGCAAGCACGGACCTCTAAATCATCAGAGGTGGAATCAGTTGCCATGAAGGAGTGAGCATCCCCTGCCGATCGGTCACACCCACCGTGTGCTCCTTGTCATGATCGGGAAATAACGGAAAAATCCGTCGACAATTCAGTGTGTAAATAATGGCCTAACAATTAGTATGAAAAACGTCAGTCAGCATTTGACTTAATGATAGATTGTATTCGCTGATAAGGTCATTGTATCGACCATAGAACTTACGAAATAATGGCTTTAAGCGAGACTGCTGATATCCTTCTTTCATCAACTTGTTTGTCCATAACTTACCTCGTTTAAGAAATTGTTCATACGTAGAGCATGCTCTTGCGTATGGAATCAACTGAGAGATATAAACCCCGTATGCAAGTGATGAAGGTATACTGCTGCATAAGGAAAGTTGGATTGAAAAGTTAAAGTCATCACGTCTTTTTCTAGTAAAATATCCAAATATGAAACAGATGTGTCAGAATCTGTGGTATCTTTTATTTCAAGCTCACCGGGATACTAGTGTATCGTATCGACATAAGAATGAAAATATCCATTGTTAACTGACAATACGTCTTCGATATATCTAAATGTTGAGTTCAAGGCCACAGCAAGTGTTTTCTTCTTTTCACTTATAAGATTTTGAAAGAATTCTGCTTCATATGAATACAAAAATAGGTCTGCTAATAACGGGGCGCAATTCGTACCCATGGAAATTCCAATATATTTCTCCTTCACTACTATTAATATTTTACTGATGAGTAAAGAAAGAGGCTTGGTAGAACATTTACTGGAACCCGTTATGTATCTTTGTTTGTAAAGATTTTTATGAAGTTTCGAAATCCAATATAGATATGGTTATTCAAATTCATGTTGGTTGTTAGGAATATTAAAAATATTCGAAACCGACATATGATTTTGAAGAATTTACTCCTTAGAATGGGAGCTATGGGTATAAGTTGGATTAACACTTGTAGAATTAAATTCCAGTTCCTCTAACATACAATTTAAATAATGAGCCTTACAAACAAAGAATGATTTTACCCGCTTTGTCAGCAGGAACCAGTACATATTGATCGTGTTATCTATTTAATTCTTTTTTCACTTCTAAATTGTTGAACACAGAAGGATAGTTGGTTTTCATTTTGCCCCTCAATCGCTTAATGCGAGATATTATACATATACATTTAATCCATTCTGACAATGTGTCCAGGTCTTCTTTTTCATGTCTGGCCCACCGCCTGGCGTAATCTTCCACAGAATCCATAACATTTATGAAATTATGACGCCAGTTAAAAGATCGGGGTTCCCTAAATTTTGGCCCTTTTAATATTAATGATTTAAGGTCCTCATTATTAACTATATAATATTTACGTCACCAGTAATAACGTGTTATATTAACCGCGTCAATTCCTTTGTTTTCGTATGAATTAGTGTATTTGAATTGTTCAAGGCTTTCATACAAAAAAATGTCACTAAGATTAATTTTGTCCAGTAGGAGGATGAAATAGATAAAAAGCAGCAAATTGTATTTGTGCCAAAGGCTGTCTCCTGGCCCCTGGATCATGAAGCAGTCTTAAAATCAAGATTTCAGTCATTCATAAAAAAAATCGACACTTGAAAATTAAAACTAACAACACGAAATGGAGACAATATTTTAGAACATTTTAAATTTTGTGTTTGTTATCATTAACCTTTAAGACAATGTATAGATTTTGACTAAGGTCTAAAACGTTTTCGTTGAAATAAGTTTTGCCATGAAATTGGAATGGATAACACCTTAACAAACAAAGACATGGATTACTTTCAATTATGTCAGTTCTCTGATTCGATTCTTCGTGTAATAATTGAAATTACATCCTTATACTGTATAATTATCTAAAAAAAAAAATCTAACTCCTGCATTGACATTTAGCAAACTTTTTCAAGATTAAAATGGGCTTCTATCAAATTTATGTCTTTCCCGTCTAGGTCTTTAATTCAGAGTCCAGGCCTGCCAGAGTAGGACAAAGTTGATATATCAAAAATGCATTATACACAAGCACAGAGTGTATTTCATTGACAAATTAATCCGTTGAAAGGCACACGTGATGGAATCACTATCTTTGCGAAGTATGTAATTGCCCGTGGAAATCAACATGATCAATTTCGGGTAGGGGGCAACCGAAAAAAGTTTTTTAAATTCTTTGATATGCAAAACAGGGTAATCAGACGTTATTCCATCAGTATTGTGTGTATCAAGAAGGTCAAATGTCCCATGACTCATTTTAGCTTCTTTAGATTAAAAATGAGTGACTACAGAGAAGTAATAACATGCAGAGATTCTTAAAAGGTATAAACGGAACAGTTTATCGCTAGTAAATTTTCAAAAGAAATAGATTATTCTCAACAGAACATAATAGTATGGATGAAAGCCGAATGGGATTTAAAAAAAAAAGAACATCAGTCCATTTGTTTTTATAGTGAATGATGAAATGTACATTAAAGCTGAACACGACTCGTAAATAGGCGTACGCCATATTAGATTTCACTATCTACGATATCAGCACTGGGTATACCCTTCGCATTCGTTACACCTGAATGCTTTATTGTCACGGGTATCGGCGTGGAATTGCGACACGCGTTCATGTTGTTATCTTAAATAGCATTTGTTTACATTTTATTGCAGTTAGGTGTATTTGTGTTTGTTTGTATACTGCATTGACCTGTGCAACTTTTGTAAGTTTCTTTGGTATCTTTCTTTCCTGGCGTGGAAGAAGTACACAGTTATTTTTGTCGCAAACGAGTACTATGTAGCATACGTCCGTCTACACAGCTAAAAACTGATAACACTGAACATTGACTAAGTGAGCGGCTTAAATAGGGGTCCTCAGGTATGACAATTGAATTAAAGAATATGGCGGACAAATTCCTTTTACAAATCGTGCTTAACTTCAACAAGGTAGTAAAGGACTTCTTGCATGTTTTGTAGATTTTTGCAAAGCATTCCATACTGTTACCCATAAAGACTTTTAATTAAAAATCTTAGAATCGAATAATTGTCACTCACTTTACGATATGCAATATGTACAGGTATAATAATATTTTCATAAAAATAAAGAACAAGCTCAAAATATACACCAGGGTAGTTAATGGAACGTCAATACATATATCTTATAAGTACCGGATATTCTTGAATGATTTCTTTAATATGAATTACTAGATTAATCATGTAAATTTTGCACTTCACTATCGAGTTCAAACCCCTTTTAGTACAGAAGTTTGTGTAATAAAGAATATTGACATCTAAAGTAAAATATAAATTTCATTCTTTAATAAAGAATATATATTTACAATTCATCATTTCACAGACCTGGTAAATTTTGCATTCATTCCATATAGTCAACTCAAAATTTACACCAAGATAACATGCTATATTTGCTCATTAAATTTGTCTGTGGAAAGAAATATATACATTTTATCTTTTATTTTCAGATAACCAGAATGGGCTACAATTTAAACTAACTTTTTGAACTTTCTCTTTCTATAATCTTTTATTCACTATTTTGCCCTCTCGGCCCAAAATTGGAATACACTTCTCTTATCTTCAAAAAATTTTTAAAAACTGGAACACATAATTTTATAATTCAACTCTCAAAATGAACATCTCCTGTAAGTTCAATGAAAAGATGTGTAGGTTCTTTGATTTTAGATTATAACAACAATACAAAAACAGTTTAATAATTAATCATTCAAAACATTAAAATGAAGAATAATTAATTGATGTAATTATTTTAGTCACTCTTCAAAGTAGTCGGGATAGGTGAAAAGTGTCATGAATTGCAAGTATGTGTAACATTCACCATATAGTAACATATAGTACATTAGTTAAAGATAACTACACTAGACAAAATTGCTAACGCACCACTTATTATTCTTATTTGTGAATTGATCATTTTCCTGATTGGTACTAGTATATAAAATATGCCTTCTTTTCCAAAACAGATGGATTGACAAATGTCTTGGTGTAATGTCAAGACCCTTAAAGGATCTTCTTGTCCGAAAAACAATTTCCCGACGTGCACTGCGCACCGTTTTTGCCAAGATATGAAGTTGGTGATTACCGATGGTGGTCCGTGACGTTGCGACGGGAGCAGTCTCCCACTTAAAAATCAAATGATATACCCTGATTGACTACCATATCGCTTAGTAGTCATCCCGTGCCTTGGTGTCCCTACCAAATCCACCCAACTTCCGGTTGCCCCAATTTTGTGGAACAATCTTGATATTATTGTGTCGTGCTCACTTAATGCCGTCGATATCTATTGCAATCTGATTAAAATCAGATCCTCGATGCTCCTTTTTTAACGATATGTCGCTTACGAAAAGCGACATATCGTTAAAAAAGGAGCATCGAGGATCTGATTTTAATCAGATTGATATCTATTGTAAACATTTTTATGATCGTTAATTCACTTTCAACAATTTTTCACCAGAGAAATTCATAATCATTTAATTCTTTTAATTTTTTACATATTTCTTCAAAGGAACCCCTTGCAGACACCATACTGGCTGCCTCAGCACCCTCTTCTAGAGTCAAACGCTGCATACGGTGTAACTTTTTTTCTGAGTTTTTAATTAGTACAAACATAAAGAACACAACCACAAAGAAAAAGTTAGAAATTAATTCCACCAAAAAAGTATGAATGTGATTTTATTTTTTTCTATGAAGTGGTTACGCTTCAGTAAACATTGTTGTTATTTATCAGTTAAAGCATTTAAATGTCTCATTTTTTACTAAAGTAACATAATTATATATCAAAAACATCATAAACAAGTTTTGAAAAGAAAAATGCTAATTTATTTAGGTGGTGCGTTACATGTAGCAATTTTGTCTAGTGTATATTCATTGCAATAAATTAAACATTAAAAAGCGAAATATTAATCAGTGACAACCTAGTATTTTTCTGCAATAATATTAACAACAAGCGAAGACCAACTATTGAAAGGATGAACACCTTTTCCCACCCCCGTTGTGTCGTCATAATATTCGAACACAAAACCTGTCTCTCTGTACTGTTTTAACATATTATTAACTAGATTAACCCTAAGCTGATTATAAACATCCCGGGCCATCTTTTTATGCAGCCCAGGAATATTTGCATAATGATATAGACCGCTAAGTGTGAGATAGTTTAAGTTAATCCATACAGAACCTCGCCAGTAAGGGGGGTCATCTTTGGTATTCCAAACCTGATAAAATGGAGAATTTTTGGCAAGTGATCGAAGGCCATAGTCTGTCCACAAGAGTTCCTTGTTAGTTACATCCGAAAGAATGTTAGACAGTTGTAATGAATCGGGTTCTAAAATTCTTAGCATCAATGGATATAGACTCACATATCCAAAAGACTCCAGAAATTTTAGTTTAGGTTCTCTATAAACTATCCTTGTCCAGTTTTTATGATCCAGTTCAACTGCATTGGTATGAAGTCCGAAGTCGTTGAAAGATTTTTGTTCTTGATTCCAGTGATATTTCTCCAAGAGCGTGCTGTCAAACAACTCTTGTGAAATAACCTTGAACCTATGTATATTTTTTCCTAAGCGTTTTCCAATATTTGCTAGTACATTAGACGCAAGTGCCATCCAACATCGAAAGTCTAGGTGCCGTTCATCTGGCGAAGGGTGAGATGCTCTTGGATAATCATCAAGCCCTGAAGCTGGAGTCTTCGGAATAAGTTCTGTGTCAGTTGTACTGTTTCGTCCTCTCCAGTAATATGTTGTAGATTCACCACCCTTTTGATTTTTATGAAGCCAGTTGAACCAAGATTCCAGTCTCGGATAGATTTTTTCCAAGAAAATTGTTGTTCCGTAACTTTCATCTGCTAAAAAGTTTTGGATCGTTAAAAACAGAGAGGGTGGATTAGCAATATGATTTTCTTGAACTAGGAATTTTCCCGGTACTTTTGCTCTTGCTTCAACACCTAATATTTGCTCGCGTGGAATCCATCCCTCCATGTTGAGAAGATCTAACCAATGAGATATTATCTCTTTTGAAATTGTTTTGTTCCACAGGAAAATCAGTTGACAATCAAATCCAACATTCCATAAAAACCCCCTAGGGAAAAATGATCTTGAGGGAACACTGGTGTACAGAGAAGTAGGCCAATATTCATCAACTTCAGTGTCGTGTTGTGATTTAACCAAAGAAGTTCCATGGAAATAACTTATTGTACCTAACATATTACTTAATGTTTCTTTGGCAAAATTTATGTCATCAGATTTGTAATTTTGTAAAATGCGATCAAATGTATCTGTAAATCTTGAATCAAATCTTTTTGTTTACTTTAAAAGTTCTGCTGTATAAGCATCGCCTTCTAATCTTTCGTTGTAAAACCGAAAACTACCAGATTCGTATATAACCTCGAGTTCAAATGGCAATTCTACTGTTACCTGGTGCACAACAAAGTTTGGAAAATCATCAGGCTCTTGGTTTTTCAATACCACAATTTTACCTTTATAAGGCAATCTGTCGACTATCAGATTGTTTTTTACCATTGATTGTAGCTCTACAAAATCAGTGACTTCACTTGCAAGATAGTGATGTTTATAGCTGTAAGATTTTTTTACTTCGGAAAATGTGATGCGAAATTTATCGAGCTCATCAGTCTGTCCTTCGATGTATTTAATTTTGTCTTTATCAATGTATGGTTTCAGGTCTCCTTGCCCATCCAGCGCAATATACATTAGGAAAGACACTGTAGATGGGTATCGTTTATTCTGCAGAAAAGAAAAAAAAGTGGCTTAATTAGCCCTATTTGGTCCTGAACCATTTCAACTGGGAATTTCACATTGAAAAGGTGGCAAATTTAGAAAAAATATTGATGACCTATCACGTTTTCTTGTCAAAAAAGACAGAGTGTAGGCTTATCCTCTATTCACATTTTATGAATATTCATGATTTTGAATATAAAACATTAATGAAAGAGCTAGGTTCACTTTATGCATAAAATGGCCCTGTCCTTATATCAATTAATTGACTATCACCCTCTGTCCCATTTCATACATCAAAGTAAAGTAGAGGATGAAATACTCCATGTACAAACTAGAAAAAAAAGGCTCAAAATTAAAGAATCCCCAATGCAGCAAAAATGTTTACACTTGCAAAGATTTGTAAGTGTTCACCCTGATAAATCATGTAAATGAAATAACTAAAAAAGAGGCTCATTGGCCACAATGCTCACCCGAGTAACTAAGGCCCTTCTTGTTCTTCATCAGCAGATTCTTCCTATGTTTTCTTATAAACAAACTTTGATCGTCCATTATAGCCCCCTTACCCCGTCCCCCGGAGGTCATGATTTGAACAAACCTGAATCTACACTACCAGAAGATGATTCTGTATTCATATGACTATTTATTGCTTTGCTGTTCTTGAGAAAAAGATTTTTAAAGATTCTACGAAAAACTTTGATTGCCCATTGCTGTCCACCCTATCCCCGGAGGTCATGATTATAACAAACTTAACAACCTTGAATCTACTCCATCTTAAGATTCTTCCATATAAATATGACTTCTCAGGATTTGCTGTTCTTTAGAAGAAGATTTTTAAAGATTTTTTCCGGTATATACCCATGTAAAACTGTTCGCCCATAAAGGCCACACCCTACCCCAGGGGCATGATTTGAACACATTGGCCAAGGAAAGTAACTCGCAGGGAAAATACGTCAGACGAAAACTCTTGTCTCAGAGCGGGGGGTTGTCCTCGCCCTGTACGACCTCTTTCTTTGATGAATGAAGTATCATGGTTAGGGCGAGAATGTCGATGCAAACGAAAACCGATTGCCCGTATGACATGATTCTAGCACAAGTCCTACAAGCACATGTTCCATGCCATAGCACTAGAACTTCAGCAATTCGATAACCACGCGCGCTTTATACCCAGGCCTACTTAATGCACGGATCTCAATTTCATGCTTTATTGAGTATACAGAACTTTGGTCAATGGACCAGTGTATACATATATAGGTTAAGAACAGGTCTAAGATATCTAAAGGGGAAGGGTTACAGCTAAAAAAAGAACAAGAAAACATTGATGTCGCCTGGGAAATAAAGAGTAGGTGAGAATCATCTAAGGAATAAAGGTGTAAATCTGTGATTATCATTCCATTGAATATTTCCTCTTTATTTCTTTAGAAATCATTGTCGTTTTCTAGTCAGTAAAAACCGCTAAGCATATCACCTGTATACAGATTTCTTAGTCGTGGCTCTTCCATCAATTAGACGTACAATGACGTGCATATTAATAATACAATATTTAATTTACTTACTACTACTTTAGATAATCATTTGTACAGATATAAATATATACAATAAAAATGTCTTTCTTTGGTTGTAAGTATGGGAAATAACGTTGCAGGTATTGCAGGGGGGGGAGGGGGGACATAACCCGCGTAAGCGGGTTACGTATTGTTTCTGCAACATTAATCCCCATACTAACAACCAAAGAAAGACATTATTTTTATTGTTTAAGTTAGTTAATTCTAAAAATAAAAAAAACCTACCTACTTACCCACCTTGAAAAATATGGGTTGGAATACTTCAAATAAAAAAAATTATGATGGCCCAAGTGTAAGAAGTCAAATTTGAGGCCAGCTGAACAAAGGCTGTTTTTCGACTCATTTACTTTCGTTTAGACTTTTACTCCCTCGATTGCAAGAAGAATTGCACTTAAACCTGCAAGCTAAACTAAATACATGGAGTAAAAAACATATACAGAAGACTTTCATATAGATGCAATCACACTCTTTTCTCTAAACCATGTCTCTGGTTCTTGAAAAGATATCAGAAATGAGTGTGAATTCTTTCACTTCATTTTATTTACCTTGTCGATATCTAATCATAGATCACACAACCTACTGTACAGGCCGAAAACAAGGGCATATTGTCATTCAAATGGGTCAAATGAATAAAAGAAAAATGAAAATACAAATGAACATTACTGATTCCTCAAATTTTGAATTTTTACCGGCACTGGAAATTAGTGTATGTGTATATATACCGTGGAATCATTTTAATTCGTGGGTGGTCAATATTCGTGGGCAACCAAAAAGTTATGTATTCGTGAGAACGTTATTTCGTGGCTACAAGGAGACGAACATTTGATTCTGAAAGGGGGCTGACAGATTTTGTAAATGATCTGTCTAGGGATGTCAGATCGGTCAATTTTTGCTAATCGGTTACTCGGACGTTTTTCCGATCGAGTACCCGGGTACTCGGTAAAAATGTAATACAAGTATGTTAATTTTCTTGAGCCACGTTAAGCGCTGTCAAACCCCAAAGCTGGTTTTATCACGTTTATAAACATATATAAACATAAATTCCAACGGAAATTATTTTTTGGTACTAAATTTATTTATCAAATGAACACAAACGACACAATTTATACATCAAAAATTACAAATGGTTTACAGTTCTTGTTTAGAATCTATTTGATCAACGCAAAAGGAGGACAATCTGTTACGCAGGTTTGTGATGATTAAAGTAGGGAAAGTGAAGGAAGGACGTTGTTGGGATCGCTAGTCTAATATTTTTTTCATAAGTTGGTTGTTTCCACGGTATACACTAAACCTACTAGCAAACTGACTTTCAATATTTTTTTTAATCTTTCGTTATTTCTAAATATTTCTTCACTTTTGAAGTGGGCAAGGGCATTTCTATGCATGTCTAATTTCGCTGCCATATATTAAGTAAATAATTTAAAAATGATTTGAAAAAAGAATAGACCATACTTAAACGATGTACAATGAAAACAATCATTGAAGCCATTCAAAAATTAAGGACAACAATAGGTGAGAACAGCCGTGTATCAGGTGATTGGTCACTAATTACTGTATATATACATGTACACAGCCACAGGCGATAACAGGTGTTTTACAGGTGTGGATGACGACACGTTATTTACCGTATGCTTATTTAAGTTATTTTTGATAAATTTTTGATAAAAATATATACTTTGAAATAAGAAAAATATACATCCGAGTAACCGAGTACCAATTTTAGTATTCGATACTCGGACGTTCGATCGAGTACCCGGTTAACCGGGTACTCGTTGACATCCCTAGATCTGTCCTTAAAAATGTTTTAAAATAACCTGTTCCCGGTCATCTTAGAAATAAATAATCTGTCCTTGACTGGCCTAAAAATAAATAATCTGACCCTCTTTTTTCTGTCTGTACGTTTGCCTTTTAATTCCTGTCTGTGAAACATCTTAGTGTACCAATATACTACCACTTTTATATTGTATGTACCTTTGACTCTCCTGAAATCCGTACGGTCCAGTCTCCTCCATGTAGACCGCCTGCTTTTTTCACGAACGATGTCTCAAAGGCGAAGTTATCTTCAACAATTCGATGAATACCAAAATTCACTCTGTCATGTCTTATCCATCCATATCTGATGCCGTCTCCTTCCTCACACCAATGTCTTATGTTGGGGTATACTTGTTCTTCCCTGTCAGGGTATTGTTCATACCACATCAAACCAAATACTGGTGACGTAGGGGATCGAGTTTTTAAACCAAAGTACAAATTAGCTCTGTATGTTCCCCAAAATAAATCGGGATTTACGGATGGACTTGAAGAATTTTCCTCAACAACTCTTGGGACATGTAACGGAATGGCCTTAAAATTTACGTCCAATCTATTGGTTAAATCGCTAACATGATACAACAACGTCGTCCCTATAATTATAATAGCAAGAACGAGCACATACTTACAGCGGGCATTCGAACTGCGATTTTTTGTTATTGTATATTTTTCAGACTGAGTTGTTTTATCAATCACTACATCTGAATCCCTGATTTCTCTCTCATAGATGCTATACTCATCATCTAAACTGTGTGTAATTCTTCGACGAGAGATATAATCTTCCATGTCAATAACGAAACTTCGATGACTTCCTGTATAGAGAGTTTATCACTGAAAAGGGGTTACTAGAAACGACGATATTAACCCGTCAAC